AAGGAGAAATATGTAATCTTGTCAACATTTCCAAAAAGACCTACTGGAGAAGATATCAACGACGCATTTGAAGGAAAAACTAGGTAACACAACTCTATATTTTGAAATCCAGTTGCTTACTTTTGAAGTTTGCCCTCCAGTAATCAGTTGATGTACATCTTAATTTGATTATCATGCTACACTTGCAGAAATGAAGCTAAAAGAGCTACTGGAATATGGTAAGAATATCTTAAAGTTCATTTCATTTTTCATGTGGAATTCATTTGATGTTAATGACATACTTTCATTTCCTTTCAGGGGCTTTTTGAGTGGCATACTCTGAGCCAAAAAAACAGACGTCGACTAAGAAATGCACTCGGTGTCCCTATCAGGCATAATGGTATATAAAACATCCATCGCTTAACACTTTAAACTGAAGATTGAGTTATGTTCTTCACATATGTTCTTGTGTTCATCTTTATATAATTTACAAAGATCGATTTGATGGAACTCACATTATGGCAAAGAAGGCTCCTAAAAAGAAGACGGTTCACTTCCTGATTCTTTCCCATGTCATTCTTTGAGGTTTCAGTTTCGTCAATATTAATCTGAAGTATTCATTTTTTTGGCCACTCTTTCTCTAGAAGTTACGAGTTGATGCCTTCTTAATTAGATTATTTTGTGGAATTATTGTACAGAATCTGTTTCCAGGGCTTCGGTTTGGGGAAATCGGAGAACAAGTTGGGGTTTATTCAGGTGAAATTAATTACAAGAGCCTTTTGATGTCCTATAATTTTGGTAAAGGGAAAAAAATCAAATTCTTAATAGTGGGTTTTGCTTGATTTGACTTACTATTTGCAGAGATTTTTACATTTATTTACCAGAAGTATTTATATAAAGTAATAGTTTTGTTGTATGGTGTCCAAAGATCCTATTAGCTTGTTTTTGTTAATTGTTTCAATTATGCTTGTACTTCTAGGTTGTAGCCATGAATCATACAAGGAAGAAAGTTACTGTAAAACTGATTCCAAGAATAGCTCTACAAGCTACGCTGAGAAATTCGTAAGATGATCTGTACCAAACATGCTTTCAATTTGTATATATATTTATTAAAAATCTTCTAAAAACATATGCTAGTTATATTCCAAGAATAGATTTGCGAGCGATGCTGAAAAATTTGTAAGATGATTTGTACCAGACGTGCTTTTAATGTGCATATATATATTTATTAAATCTCTCATGGAAATATATGCAGGTTATATATATTTTTAGCAGGATTTAAAACGTCATCTCTTCAAATCTTAGGAAAAATAGATTGCATTTAGTGTTTGATAAAATGACCAAGTACAAAAATAGTGTATAATTAGGCATAAACTAGCAATTGTGTCGTTGGCTTATTTAATCAAATTTGTATAGTTGAAAACAAATTTCTTGGTGGCATTGTATAATAAATAATTAAAAAAAAAAAATCGTGCACAGAGGCACATCATGTGCGCACGGAGGCACACGGATGTCCCTTAATGTGCCTCCGTGCGATTTTTTTTTTTACCAACCTTCACATTGAAGAACCAAATTCCAAATCACCTCCATCTCTTTACCAAAACCAATCGCTTTTCTGTGCAACTCATTTCCTTTTCACTCTCTCCCACACAAAAACCCTAGCAAATCTGAGAATTTCTTCTGATGCCCGTGCCTCCGTATTTCCCAAATTCATATTGTCACCGCCGGAAAGGTAAGTTATTTCTTCTGAATGAAGCTGAAGTAGTATTACGCCCCCCTAACGAGTCCTCTGCAGAGGTATACCATATAACATGTTTCACTGTTCTTTGATGTTAGTTTTATGGCATGTATGAACTTCTTTAATATTTGTTTTATTGCCTTAATTCCGGTTTTGAACTATGTGATACTGTTTACCCTAGGTTATTGTATGTGGATTTGAGGGTGTATATCCATTTCCCCTTCTATGTGTGATGATTTCTCGAACAAACTATCAAAATTGAGCTATGACTCAAAAAGAATAAGAACAATCAGCGCATAAAGCTGATTATTTTCCATATTTTTCTTACTTTAACTTCAAAATACATCACAACCATTCGTCTATTTCGTACTCCAAAAACCCATCAACTTCTCCATGCCGTATCCCCAAATGGTTGCAAGAACCTCACATCCTTGTCCGAACATAGCAACTCACAAGATCCCATAAGTATTAAACTCAAAGAAACGCCCGACTTTAACCCTTCTATGCTAACAAATATTGGCGACCTAGTTGATTCTGACGCAAGTATCTACTATTCTCTCTCTGTGTATGCAAAATCTCTCTTTCTTGATTTTTGCGTGTTTCCAAATTCTGAATTTTTTTCTTGATTTTGTTTTTGTTTTTGTTTTTGTGATGTTAATTAGTGTGAAAATTAGATATGCAGTAATATATAAAACTTCCAAAACTTGTTGATGTGAAATCGACAAATTTCTTAAGATCACGTTAAAATTGATATCTTTTACAGCTATTACCTCCTAGGGTGATAATGAAGACATTTCTTTTTCGTGAAGTTTTAATAATGAACTATTTCTTTTTATTGTGTCAAACATTTTGAAGTGGAAGATAACGAATTGCTCTCTTTTGGGGTCTGGTCTTCGGAAATCGTAATTCTCACGTTACAATGGACTGTCAAAGTTGGTATTATTTTTCTTGTTTTCAAATTTTAAATAAAAAAACTGCATGTATTTATGTCTGAAAAAAATGATGAGGTAGGAATGCATGTAGAGATAATTTAGATTTCAATTGATTCTCTTGATGATGTATTTACATACTATTCTTCTTTGTTTCAATTTTGTAATTTCACTAGGGAAATTGTGAAATTTTTGCACATTTCCCCAATTTTAGTTATTTTTATGTTGAATTTTTAGAGTGAACATGATTATATTTTGTTGTTAAATAGTGTAAAGATTGATTTTTGTGAACCATGAAATGCATGATAATTTTAAAAAGAGTCGATAATTCTCTTGTGAAGCAACTTGCTGATTGAAAAATTCATATCTTAAAGTAACTATGTAATTTAATCTATACGTTTAAAATCTGGAGTGAAAATTGAGAATTTTTGGCAGTTGTGCTATATGCTATATCATATCTATTTTCAGAAGATGATAATTCTTTTGTAGATAAAAATTTAGACTTCAACTCAACTCATAATTTCCTCCTATTCAATCCGGTAATGAAATTCTTCCCAGCTGTACTTGACACTAGCCTTCGTCGACACCATACTCTGGGTTCGATTCCTTCCTCTTCTATATATTGTTTCTGGTTTTCACTGTTCATTTCTGCCGTTTCATTTTTTTTTTCGTTCTTCGAAGAGGACTTCCCCTAGCCTTGTAGCCAATTAAGCCGATGCACCTTGAATTTGGGTCCTGCCTTCGTCGCCACCGTAGCAACAAATTCCAGAGGCAAGTCGACTCTGGGTTCGATTCCTTCCTTTTCTATTTATTGCTTCTGGTTTTCACTTTTCATTTCTTTTTTGCTACTGCTTGTTGCCATAGACTCACGATGGAGGAGCGCAACCACCTCTCGATGGCTTACAAGAACGTCATCGGCTCGCTCCGCGCTGTCTGGCGCATAGGGTTACAAAACCCCCTACTGCTTTGTTTTCAAGAATCAAAAGTTGGGGTACCCACCCTCTAATGATTAGTCCTTTATCTTTTGTTCTTTCCTCAAATCCTTCACGCAGCCAATTTTCTTTTTCATCTTCTTGGTTCTTGCCTTTTCTAACTATCCAAATGAATTTCTGACCGGAGATTTCGAGACCATTTGCAATTTCATGTAATTGTTTTTCAGTAGGGGTTGCCATACTTCCAGAACAGATATAAACTACAGAATTTGGTTCCTTGGAGTTGAGCCATTCCAAGCACTGCGCGCATATTCCTTTTGTTTTTGTTTTTTTTTCCTTTTTTTCCATTTCTCAGGTGCTTTCAAGGATTATATTGGTACTCTTTGCCCAAATTTTATTTATTTATGATTCTATTAAGCAATTTGCTGTTAATTACTGTTAAGATTTATTTTTGACAACCTTAACAATGAAATTGTGGAATTTTTCCACATTTCCCCAATTTTAGTTATTTTTATGTTAAATTTTTAGAGTGAACATGATTATATTTTGTTGTTAAATAGTGTAAAGATTGATTTTTGTGAACCATTAAATGCATGATAATTTTAAAAAGAGTCGATAATTCTCTTGTGAAGCAATTGGCTGATTGAAAAATTCATATCTTAAAGTAACTATGTAATTTAATCTATACGTTTAAAATCTGGAGTGAAAATTGTGAATTTTTGGCAGTTGTGCTATCTGCTATATCACATCTATTTTCAGAAGATGATAATTCTTTTGTAGATAAAAATTTAGACTTCAACTCAACTCATAATTTCCTCCTATTCAGGTTGTTGATGAATGGCCTGGGCTCCCTGCTCATGTAAAATTTGATCCATCTGATATAAAGCTGTTAGAACATTTGGCTACAAAAATTGAGGTAAGAAAATTAATTGACAATTTCATCCCAACTCTTGAAAATGACGAGGGGATATGCTACACCCATCCAGAAAATCTACCTGGTAAGTGAGCACTTGACAACTCCACATATGTAGTTAATTAGCTGTGAATTGACGTATGAAAAACTTAAGATTAGAGGAAATTCCAGCTAAACGAAGAAGAAAGCGTATTGTTTCTGCCTTTCTCGTAAGTAGAAGCAACAAATGTGATAAGCAGGAGTGTAAAAATAATGGACTACCTCTTATATGTGTTTAATTGAACCACGTCTTTAATCAAGAGTATTTTCTCATTGCAAATAAAATTTATTATAATTTGAACCACTTGGAGAAAACGTGTTCTAAAGAATATGAGGATAACGACAATCTCTACTAACCAAGAGTACAAAATTAATGGATTAAATGACACGCCCTGCAAAGAGCAATCGTATGATTTCTCTGTTTCATTTGATCTTATTCATTATTTTTTTCACTATTCTGGTTTCCATTGTTTGGCATACATCTCAAGTTGTTCCCTTTTATCAACCGTTTCAGGTTCTCAATGGAGTATAAAACTAAGGATGACACAACCTCGTTTGCTGCGTTTTTTTGTTGTTGCTTATTGTCCTCTCTGGATCACTTTAAACTATTCTTTTTAGCTTGTAGTAAATTGATATCTCTCCTTTGTTGTTTGGTGAACCCCCTAAATTTTGTTTGTTACAAGTGATGACTAAAAATTTGGAGCAAGTAGTTAATATGGTTTTGAATTCCTTTAAAGATCCACATCCGTCTGTCTGATGGGCGGCTATTAATGCTGTTGGACAACTGTCAACTGACTTGGGCCCTGATTTGCAAGTTCAGCACCATCAACATGTGTTGCCAGCACTAGCTTCAGCTATGGATGATTTCCAAAATCCTCGAGTGCAGGTTTGTTCATTTTGTTGTA